AAGGAACATAAAGCTTCCAAAAAACAAGCTGATAAAAAAATTGGTATTAAGGAACATATAGTTTCCGATAAAAATACTAAGGAACATAAAGATTCCAAAAAACAAGCCGATAAAAAAATTGGTATTAAGGAACATAAAGTTTCCGATAAATATATAAAGGAACATAAAGCTTCCAAAAAACATAAAGCTTCCATAAAATTGGTCGATAAAAAAATTGACACTGAGGAACAAAAAGATTCCATAAAGCCAGCTGAAGATTTTACTGGCAATATACTGTTAGAAAAATATTTTGCTTTAGGACATGAAGATCCTTTAGCACCAGCCGATGAATTTAACGGCAATAACGATAATTGTTCAATACTGAGTGAAAGAGGCTCAGAAATAACGAATCATAAATGTGAAAATGAAAATGATGAATTGTCAAATTTGAAAGAATACATAAGGTATAAAATCAGTGAAACACATCCTGAAGTGGATACAAGTTTTCCATTCAGAACTGATGTAAGAGCAGAGATAAAGACAGAGGGCAAGGAGCCTATATGGAGCAAGCAGTATCCATATCCTCTCTCTGTAAATTCTTTCGTAAATAAAGAAATCAACAGAATGTTGAATGAAAAAATTATAAGGCCAAATAGAAGTCCTTATAATTCACCAATTTGGGTAGTACCAAATAAGGGTACAAATGACGATGGCTCACCAAAATCTAGACTGGTCATCGATTATAAAAAAATAATCGAGAAAACCATTCCTGATCGTTATCCTATACCGGATACGAATATAATTTTGTCAAATTTAGGGAAAGCAAAGTACTTCTCAAGTATTGACTTAGAGTCCGGCTTACACCAGATATTAATGTCGAAAAACGACATAGAAAAGACAGCTTTTTCTGTCAATAATGGAAAATATGAGTTCTTGCGTATGCCTTTCGGTCTTAAAAATGCTCCCAGAATTTTTCAAAGAGCAATGGACGATATATTACGCGATCAAATTGGGAAAATATGTCATGTTTATATGGATGATATAATTATTTTTTCAGAAAGTTTAGAACAACACATAGAAGACTTGGAATTAATAATTGAAATACTGAGAAAAGCTAATATGAAAATCTCTCTTGAAAAATCAAAATTTTTCAAAACCAAAATAGAATTTTTGGGTTACATCATAGCCCAAAATACGATCAAAACAGATCCGAATAAAATAAAATTAATGCTTAATTATCCGTTACCAAAAAGTTTACGGGGATTAAGAGGATTTTTGGGCATCACAGGTTATTATCGCAAATTCGTTAAGGATTACGCAGCGATTGCAAAGCCTTTGACAAAATACTTGTCGGCAGAAAACGGCAGGGTTTCAAAAAATATGTCAAAAAAAGTATTAATCGAAATTGATGAAGCAGGCATATCCGCTTTTAACAAACTAAAAAGAAATTTAGCGTCAGAAATGGAATTGACGCAACCCGATTATTCAAAAAAATTTGTGTTGACTACCGACGCATCAAACGTTGCAATAGGTGCAGTACTTTCCCAGGAAAATAAACCAATTACGTTTATTTCTAGAACTCTTAATAAAACAGAAAGAAATTATGCCACAAACGAAAAAGAGCTATACGCCATCGTATGGGCATTAAAAAATCTTCGTAACTATCTGTATGGTGTAACAAATCTTGAAATTCATACAGATCATCAACCACTAACTTTTGCATTGTCTACCCGCAACCCAAATTCTAAAATGAAAAGGTGGCATGCGTTTATCGAAGAATTTTCTCCAAAATTTGTGTATCAACCTGGCAAAACAAACATTGTAGCTGATGCACTATCACGCCTTGAATTAAACAATTTATCAAGTGAATCAGGAGATTCACCAGAAGACGAATCACAACATTCTGTTCAAAGTAGCGATAATTTTTGTATAGAGGAAAAAACCGGTAAATCAATTCAAACAATAAATTATATTATGTAAAAATAAATTTACTATCCATGAACTAATTGAAACTTTTGGAAGTAAAAGACACTTAATTGAATACGACACAGTTGAGAACCTTCTCACAATTTTAAAGGAATATATAAGACCTAACTTAGTAACAGCGATACACTGCACAGTAGAAGATTTGCACGAGATACAAAGACCTCTTAAAGAAACATTTCAGAATAAATTTGTATATACGAGGTTATTTCCTATGGACCTTCCCAATAGTGAAGATCAAGCAGATATAATTGAACAAACTCATAATAGAGCGCATCGAAACCATGTAGAAAATATTAAGCAAATAGAAAAATTATACTACTGGCCTGAAATGCGAAAACGAATGAAAGAATACGTACGAAATTGTATAACTTGTAACAGAAATAAATATGACCGTCATCCTAAACAGATTCCGATAGGAAAAGCACCGACTCCGGATAAAGAGGGAGAACAGTTGCATATAGACATTTTTTACGCTCAAAAATTGAAATTCCTTACGTGTATAGACGCGTTCTCAAAATTTTTAATACTAAAAAATATTGAAGATAAATCAAATATTGAGGAAAAAGTTTTGGAATTGCTCCAAGCTTTCCCAGATGTGAAATGCATAACATTAGATAATGAACCAAGTTTCACAACACCCCAATTCAAATCGTTAATGCAAAGATTAAATGTGGAAATCTATTTTTGTGATCCACGTCACAGTACAACCAATGGACAGATAGAAAGAGTTCATTCTACAATAATAGAAATTGCTAGATGCATAAAAGAAGAATATAATATAGTTAGCGATTTAGAAGCAATTTTTAGAGAAAGTCAACAGTATAATTTGACAGTACATTCAGTGATAAAATTAAAGCCGAAAGATGTCTTCCACAATAAAATAAATCACGAAAATTTACCTGATATTCTCAAACAAGCACAGGAAAAAATGCTTGCGACTCATAATAGGAATAGAATAGAAAAACAATTCCAAACAGGAGAAATTGTCTATGAAAAGATTATAGGGGAAAGAAACAAACTTAAACCTAGACATAGGAGACAACAAGTAAAGGAAACCCTAGAAAATAAGATAATAATTAATAATAGAGATAGAATCATACATAAAGATAATATAAAATCTTAATTGCTTATAAGTTTTCAACATGATAATACTCGTAATTACAACCTTAATCGGCTTAATAACAGCTGACATTATAGACTACAGTCGACAAGATTACATATCGCACATGTTGACATAAAAATATTTCATATCATACGTCAACAAAACCGATACCGATTCGAAAACTGTCGCTAACTGGTTACAGAATCTGCCCCAGGCCTACAAAAATGATATCGTCTGATTCAGCTGGAACAAAAATGTTTCAAACAAGTAAGAGTTTTTCTCTATTATGGCCTCAAACCGACATATATACATCTTTCATTTGAATCAGTATTAAAAGCTCTATTAAGCTGGCATTTCAGGGTACTATTTTATATATATATAAGGAAAATTTCAAAGTTAGGGGGGGGGGGGGGNGGCTACGCCCATGCCATTAGGCACATTTTGAAATTTTTAAATTCCATCCCTGCTTGTACCTCACACGAATCATGCATGCATGTACGTACATACACACGCAACACACTTCAGTATCGATACGAAAAACAGTTTCGTTACCGCACAATATGTTGTGTTGTATTAGTTGCGTTCGATAACAAAATTAGCCAACACCAGCCAACAAACAAAATCAAGAGAGTAAGCGAAAATTCTCTCCCAAAGAGATGAAAAAGCAAAAAAGTAAACGAACAGGAAATTAGCCATTACTTGCAAAAACCGGAAGAAGAAGACACACCAGCTGACTTTGTTTATGTTTTATTTGTAAACAAACTGAAATTCATGTTGCCTCCATAGAAGAAAAAAAAGGAAAGTGAACATTCAATGTTCGCCAGGAACATTTCTAGAAGTAAAAACTAGTTGGCGCTATCATAAAGTCACATAGCAGGCAGCCAAAAGCATATAAATACCAAAACTCGGAAAATGCAATTTTGTTTGTTTACAAAAATTGCAACCATATGTTTTGTGATCATATGTTTTCGTGTTGGATAATTTTTGCTGACTAAAATTTTGCCAGTACAAAATGAACGCTTCTCTTGCATCAAAATGAAGCTTACTCTCTCAATTTTTGTGTGTTGGATAATTTTTTGTCGTTATCGAACGCCATCCGGTAAAAATTTGGAAAAATTATTACAAATTTTTGACTTGTCGAACGCAACTATTGATTGACGTTGATGGTGCATATACGGAACATGCGAGTAACGAGATTATTATGAGAGTAACGATTCCGTACTTCGAGTCAGGGGTTGTATTCGTTACTACGGTTTGCTACAGCTCTATCAGTATTACCGCAGCCGTTAGAGCTGGGATACTATCGATAGTACCGCCACTCGATTTAGTGTCTACTAATTTTTTATAAAAGTTGTACAAAACATAAAAAAACTACAAAATAATTAAAAATTCAAAGTTTTTAATTCGAATTTCTATAAAAATTTTGTGTAAGCAGTTTTATAGCTTATTAAATTTTACTATAACTCAGTGTAAGCTTATCGTTGCTAAAAATCCCAATGACCTAAATTTTTTTTTGTTACCGACTGTGTTGTGAATTTTCTTGCATAAAAAAAAAGTATGTAATATGTAGAGATATAAAGAAGAGACATTGTGAAGTCGTGCTAAAACCGACATCGATAGTTTCAAAAACTATCGATAGTGGCGACAGTTTTCAACTATCGATAGTATCCCAGCTCTAGCAGCCGTACTGCGATGAACATGATGTCGGTGGAGATATAAATAATTTTTTCGCAACTTTTCATACCCTTCCTCCCGTAAACTATTTTTTCCTTTCTCTAACTCGCGTTCGCACTTTCACTGCTGCGCGGGCAAAAAAGTGCCCATGTCTGCCCTAAATATTTGGATGCTGCGCTAGCTACATGGAGTTTTTTCAATACACATTGCGCGAAAGTTTCTGTCATGCATATAAATAAATATTTATCCGTATATTTATTAGTTACTGCTTCTGTTAATGCTATATACATAAAGGTATTAATAAAAATTAAAACTATTTGTTAATATTATTTTGATGGTTAATCCATATATGTATTTTACACGGTTTCACGAAATTTTGGCTCCCTCGCTGCAAGGTTCTTCCCTTTCTTCTTTTGTACGAAATAGGCTTCTGTAAAGATATAATGCGAAATGAGTTTAATAAATAAAATATACTATGTACACATGCGAACAGTGACAGATCTAGAATTTTACTATTGGGGGTTTGAATTTTTAATTTTATCACCTATTCGATTTTAACCCTTAAAGGTAACGTTATTTTACATACTCTAAAGGTAATCTTCGTCGAATCGACGAAGTCCTTTTATCTCCCATTTTTTGTATGAAAACTGTTGGGAGTTTTAACATTTTGGCCCAAAGTGCAATTAATTTATGAAAAATATCATGTATAAAACGACTTCAAATGAAATTTCTGTCTTCATACTCTACAGTAGAATTTAATAAGGGATTAAATTAGATTTTAACCCTCTCAGCTCGTTCTAAGCAATAATGGAAGGTCGTTAAAAAGGCACTTAGAGGGTTAAAATGTTGCAAGAAAATTTTAAGCAGACAGAAGTCGCCAAAGATGACGCGTTGTAAGGGTTAGAATAAGTGATTAACCCTCCGTTGTGTGATGTGGCCTACGCAGGCCATTTCGATTTTCAAAGGTGTATATCTTCTTTCTTCGTTAAGTATTTTAGAATGGGCGACAATATACCATACCCGTCGATGTACTAAAGAGTCTGTGAATACTACAACCATTCCCGGCCAACGGATAAGGAAGCAAATCAGTTTTACAAAAAAATGGTAAATGGCCTACCCTGCGTACCTACCCTGATTTGCTTGACCTTAGTTTGTCGGTCCAAACAGGCGTCTCGATTTACTGTTGTTGGGTAGCTTGTTTCTAATGGGATGGTGACAAGAAAGCGGCTGACTTAGGTACGTGTGATGATTTTGAGATTACCGGCGTATAGTGGTTCAACTGCTGTACAATGAATAGACTAGATTTAATATTCACAATTTCTTTATTTTCACCTGCAAGGAATGCGGTGGAACCTTTTACCTTTTACTAAACCTGATACAAAAAAAAAACTGGAAACGAATAGCACGATTACCTTCTATGTTGCCGGCTCGAACACATTGTACACTTACGGCTTTTTACTTTCAGCCTTTTTCCCCTTATATTTTGGGCTCAGTCGATTTTTCTTTATTAGATACTAGCCAATGCCCGCTTACTTCGCGGCGCCTAATAAGAACTTTTCCGTTGGCCAATGCAAAAGAGCGTTTAAAATCAAAAATAGTCAGTAAATCAAAATTTTTGGTATAAGTTGAAACCACTAAGGCGCAGTATCCTCCTCACACATAGGCCAATAATACTAACGGCATATGGAATACCAATCCCTTTCGGTGTCATGTTATTTCCACCTGTGAGAGCATGCTTAATCTTTTTCTATGATCTTGCAACTACAACATTGGTGGATGGAAACGCAAGAGCACAGAAGTGCGTTTTCTGTTATAGAAGGGCCAAGAATCCTCGCTGTCCTACAGGATGAAAGTGGCTAAATGTGTCGTGTGATCTCTTGAATATCTTTCAAATGAAGCAATTTATATACCTACGGTGATATTTCCTTGTTAATTCGTCACTTTTACAACTCGTGGTAATATTTATGAACTGATTTCTTGGTAGATGCAAGACCGCATCGTGCATGAAGGCGTCAGACAAACTTATCCCCATCCTTCATTTAGACATCTGAAAACTAAATTCGTATAACTTAAAAATAGGGCCAAAGCAGACCAACCACACGGGGTTTCTATACATTTCGGCTGTAGCGCCATCCACTGGGTCCATTTTCTGCAAAACCATTGCTTACCATAAAATGAATACGTGTTATGAATTTCAACCTCGACTCCAGCGGCACTCATCGGGTCAATTTTTATCAAAAGAATTTTCCATCATACAGGTACATAGCTCACATTTAAAATTTGATCGAAATCGGTTAATAAATACGATTTTTATAAATAACACGACTCCAGCACCACCTAGCGAGTTTTCTAAGACCATATATGTATGTAAGATAACCTCCGACAATCTGACGGAACTCTATTTAGTGGTTTTTTAGTTTAGTCCGAACAACGAAAACGGCTATCATTTTATGCAAATAGGTAAGTACATAGGACAGTCTATAGCGAAACTCGTAAAATCAAAGCTCCATTCTCTGTGAAAAATTTAAAAAATTCTGCAAAATTTTCACATACATTTTACCTTTTACTAAAAATTAANACCTAGCGAGTTTTCTAAGACCATATATGTATGTAAGATAACCTCCGACAATCTGACGGAACTCTATTTAGTGGTTTTTTAGTTTAGTCCGAACAACGAAAACGGCTATCATTTTATGCAAATAGGTAAGTACATAGGACAGTCTATAGCGAAACTCGCAAAATCAAAGCTCCATTCTCTGTGAAAAATTTAAAAAATTCTGCAAAATTTTCACATACATTTTACCTTTTACTAAAAATTAAAAACAAAGTTACAATAAATATTTCAATGGGATTTAGGAATCTAGGAGAAAATGGTTCCCAATCGAATGATAGTTGCGCGTTTACGTAAATGTACATATATCGATCCAGCCTTTCCAATAATTACCACTTTTCGCCATAAGTACGGTATTGATAACACATGTAGCTGTGTCGAATTTCAGGACGTTAGCGTAAGCGGTTCCAGAGATAAGCTGTATGAGAAGTTCAGTTTGAATGGAAGGTGCCAAGCCCCTTTTTCCAATGCATTGGCAATATATGCATCAGTGCTAAGTTTCAGTTCCTCAGCGTAATTAGTTTTAGAGATACATATATTGGTTTTTTAGGTTTTGGTCTGTATAAGGATTTCAGGAATATCCCGAGCTACATACCTAGTAAATTTTTGGTCGGAATATTTATTTTCAAGGTGCTGGCATATGTTCCAAATATGAACCAAATCGGTGCAGCCGTTTAGTAGTTTACTAAAATACATTATACAGAGAACTGTATGAAATTCTTAATTTTTTGGCAGCAACAACAAAAAGTTTTGATTTTTTTTACCGAAAAACCTTCCACACAGAAGTTCCAAAAAAGTGCGATTGGTTATGCTTGAACATACTTAATTGAATGTCGATAAAATTAAGTTTGTAGTTATATCAAGGCAAAATTTTGAGAACAGTCCGTTGCTAACTCTAAATATAAACAACGACGCACTGGAAAAAGTTGATACATTCAAATACCTAGGAATAATGATCGACGATAAACTAAAACAAAAAAAAAAATGGATTCTATATTTTCAATTAGAGCTCTAGTTTTTGCGTGATGCTCTTAAACTATGTTCACACATCAATATTATCTCAATCAAAGCTCGTTTTTTAATCGCCCCGTTTACACAGGCAAATCTCAGATTATTAGCCGTCAAATTTGTTGTGCTTGTTATTCTCACATCTCAAGGAAAAGTTATGTTTCTTCTCTGTGCCACCGTGATCACGTTTTTATGCTATAATAAGCAATATAAATATATTTTAACTTAACATTTTATTAAAAATACCTTTACAAACCTCTTTTCCTTGCTAGCGTACATTTTTGTTTACTTTTACATTTGGCATTTCTCCTCTTTTTTGCAAAAACAATCGATAAAACTAGGATGGACACCGAAAAGTTATCGGTTTAATCTGAGATTATTTTATAATTACAGATTAACAATGGACGAATTTTATATGGCTAATCTCTTGTTATAATTACAGACTAGGGTGTTAAGCTCGAAAATGAGGATAATCTACTTATATGCGAACCTAGTATTACAACCATACAGACAGACAGACCAAAATTATAAAAATTTTAGATTTGGCTTCTCTGGGTCTAATAAACCCCCTATTAATTTTTCTTTAACATCAAATACTCTCGTTTGATACCCTTATGGCAACACTTAGTGTATATTATAAATTTAACTGAATTAAAGTTTTCAAATAAGTGGCAACCCGCTTCAAGAATATTTTCAAAAGTAAGCTTCCTAATCCTCTTTAGTTTATTGTCCGTATTGTAATATTTCATTTATTTTAAAAATTTAAATGAACACAATTTTTCAAGCAGTCGGCAAATCTCCCTCGTGAATGTGCGGCGTGCATACTTGTCTGCATCGTTGGCGTAGCTCATTTTTGGTAGAAAATTCTTGAGTATACGAAGTACACTATTTCTATTGTGGAAATACGAGTCGCGGTTCATTACGATTAAGTACAAATAAAGTTTCGGTATTTCGATATTTGTGAAGAAGTGCAAAGAATAAATAGATCCTGGATATCTGTGTCAATAAGGGTAAGTATTTTTAGATTTTTTTTACAAAATTTAACTTTGTTACCTACAGTAACAATAAAGACACGACATTTTTACCAGTTACGGCTATTTTTCCATTGTTTGTTTACTGTATATTATATTTTTTTTTATAACAAAAGCGTATTATCTAACAAAAACAATATAAGTCCAAATTTCAAACTTTGTAGAAAAATTATAGAAATTCAACAATATTAGGGCAAACTTTTTATTAAGATTATTGACGGTGTCAAGCATTTTCTTCCATACAAAGTGTGTTCGAAGATTTTTTTGTAGGGAATAAAATAATCANATGGTTCAATGTTTACTACAACTATACAGATTAAAGTTTTATGAGTTAGAAACTCGAATGGATAAAATAGTCAAAGATTCAAAGTAAAAATTTTTCATATAATGAAACTAGTTCAAAGTTTTTCTCTTTTTACTTGTAATATAAAAATATATTTTTTGATTGTTCTTCGTATTTTCTGTCTTTTTTTAGTGCTTTATTTTGCTTTTTTTGCAATACATTTTTTTTTGCCTTTTTCGCTATTTTGTTTTGCCTTTTTTTGCCTTTTTTGCAATACCTAGTGCCTTTTCCTGCCTTTTTCGCTATTTTATTTTGCCTTTTCCAGCCTATTTCGTTACTTTATTTTGCCTTTTTTATAGGTTTTTAGGTCCTAAAAATCCGTTCTCTGGTTATGAGTATTCGAAATTTAGCATTTGAAAGGAAGCTCAAGAAAAAAGAAATAAATATTTCCGCTAGCCCACTTATATATCGATAGAAACGAAAACACCGGTTAACGT